AGACTATATAGACCAGACATGGTTACTTCCTGATTGGCTGAAGTAGTTATGAGAGCCCCTGCAGTGAAGTGTGTACTGACCTTTGTATTCTATTTGTAGCCATCCTCCCCGTAGATAAGTGTAACCTCTTTTTAGAGAGGTTAAAGTTATACAGTCAGGGTAGTATCAGATTTAATAGATTTGTCAGCACAAAGTATAGAGGAGCTTCTGTCAATCTAGACAATTCTGAAATTGTTTGGAGACAAGGATAACAGGCTTTGACTATTATACCTTTCCTTATATGATTTCTGTTGCTATGATAAATTATTCTAAGAAGAATAGATAGAGTAGGACTCACACTTATAAAGTACACTGCCTTGTTATCTATCATATATAGATCCTAGCTTTGAATATTTAGAATTTTCTGTTTAAAGTTGACTTGCTTCAGCAGCCAGGAAACTACAATAAAGCCATTATTAGGAGAAAAACTATTTTAATGGAGGGTGAATAGTACAACATGTACTACAATGCTATAGGACTCCAGATATCACTACAAGAATTCATACATTCTTAAATGAAAATTTCAGAGTCAGGTGTGTGACATCTCTATGTAAGTTATTGTCCAAGGAGGTCCCATAGATATTCAAAACAACATATATTGCCTTTGCTCTTGGCTATGTTAACTAATTGATAAGATCCTATTGCTAAAGAGGACATATATTTTGATGTAACACAGAGAAATCAAGTCAGAACTGAGTTAGATTATTGTCTTCTAGCTAAAAGGCTGCTGGGAGAGGTGTATCATCATTGGAATTACTGTGTGCTAAATGACTAACCTGATGAGCAAGATGTGCTCACTGGTGCCATAGTGACGTGGCTGTTTTTAGGGACAAGCAACTAATTTCTCATTGGATTTGAGACATTTGAGTGGATGATGTACACACTTAATATGTGAACATGTACAAAAGTGTATGGCCATGAAGTTGTAAAAATAAAAAAAGAAATAAGAAAGAAAATGTTGCGGTTCATCTGATCTATATGCATCTATATAGGAATCGAATGTGGAAGAGCACGTTCTGAGGCATCTATAAGAGCTCCTGGACGTGGAAAACCAGACAGGCTCAACAATCAGTACCTTGAACTATAAGAGAGAAAGGTTCTGAGCTAAAGGCTGTCGTTTGCAGATTACGCTTACAACTTAAGACTAAGAAGAATTAGGAAAAAGATGTGGATAAAAGTGAGAAGTAACAGCTGTGTGCAAAGACAAATTCTGTCAATGAGGAAAAAGTTCTAAAACCAAATTAAAGGATTGAAGGAACTCCAACAGAAACATGGCAGCCATGGAAGGCAGACTCATGAGTGGAAGCTTTAACACTCGAAGGATGTGAGTTGGCTGCTGGGAATGCCCTCTGCAGGTCCTCAGGAATGAGTCACAGTGTCTCAAGGTCCCAAATGATTATCAGCTTTATGTTTCCTACCACCAGGTACCACTGATCACAATGACACTTACAAAAAAGTGCTAAGAAAAAGGTAGTAGCCTATAATTGATGCAAAGAATGGTTCAACCTTTGAGTCCTACATGCCAGTTACAATTGCTTCCCTTTTTGTGTCTGTCCTGTGCAGTTAATCTGCAAACATTGTTTCAAAACACCAATGACATCCTAAGTGGGCAGCACAAACCATATTTCACATTTGTACAAGGTAAAAAGAGCAGATTGTAATGATTACAAACTCTTAGGGCCTGGTTGTAATTACTCTATTTCATAAAAAGTTTAAGAAATGTTTAAAAACTTATTTATTCTATATCATATATACTAGCATTTTGCCTGGATTTGTGTTTATGTGCTATTTGTGTGTCTAGTTCCCACAGAGGACAGAAGGAGTCAGTTCCCATGGACATCTCTTCCCTTCTTCCATCTCCAGGAATTATACTTTGCTTCTAACCCCTCTCCCAAGTGAGACTTCATTCCCTCTGAGTGTGCCAGGAGCCTTGCTGGCTCATCTACCCCTGGCTATCAGTGCACACCTCATTTGTTATTGTGTTCTATTTTGTTTTATAACCCAATAAACTCTGTGCTGGACGGCTAACTCACACTCCCCCATCCCACTCCACCTTTACAGAGCCTCCATCCTACAGCCTGTGCTCATCTTTTCCCTGTTTTACATAGGAATCCTCAGAGGCTATCCAAACTTAGAGGATTCTTAACAGGAATACAGGTCTGAGGAAAGAAAGTGGAATGAAACTAGAGGATTTTGATATACCCCCTACACATTTTCTGGGAAATAGAAGTTGCCTTTTTCCATGGCAAAAAAAAAAAAAAAAAAAAAAAAGTCAGACCATCAAATCAAAGGAATGGGGAAAGAACCCTACCACCACACAAAAACTGGGAATGAACACATACTGATTGATGATAACTCTCAATATGAAATAGTCTCAATTTCCCAATTTAAAAGCACACACTAACAAAGGATTAAAAAATGTGATCCATTCTTCTGCTGGGCCTATGAAACACACCTTAACATCAAGGATAGATATCACCTCAGTTAAAAGGATGCAAACAGATATTCCAAGGAAATCGACCTAAGAAGGAAGCCAGTGTAGCCATTTTAATATCTGACTAACTAGACCTCAATCTAAAACAAATCCAAAGAGCTATGGAAGGACACTACATTCTCATTAATGGAAAAATCCACTTTCTTGAGCTCAGAGCAACAGATGAGAGAGACTATGATGTTTGTCTTTCTGGGTCTGGGTTATTATTGTAAGGTGTGTATTGAGTTCAGTCATTTTGTTGTATCTATACTGTTTTCATTCTTAGGAATTCTCTGTGTTTCAGTAATTATCACTTCATTTGTTTTTTTTTCTATAGTTTCTATGCAATTTTTTCAAGTATTGCTTCAGGTATTCTTTGTATGAATGATCTTATGGACATCATTTCTTCTAGGATGTTTGTATCATGGATAGGTTTTCATTCTCTTTACTATGGCAGATAGTTTTGCTGGATATTGTAGTCTATGTTGGCTTGTATAGTCTTTTAGACTTGGCATACACTGCTCCAGTCTCTGATAGCTTTCAAAGTTTCCATTAAAAAATAATGTGCCCTTATGATGGGCTTTCTTTTATATGTAATTTATGGTTTTTCTCTTGTGACTTTCAATGCTTTTCCTTTGTCTTGTATGTTTAGTCTTTTCTCCATGATATTCTGTGGAGAATTTCTTTTATTGTTTTGTTTATTTGGTTTTTAAATGCTTCTTATAACTATTTAGATGTGTCTTTTCTTAGTTTAAGGATGTTTTCTTCTATCATCTTTTTGAAGAGAACTTCTATGTGATTGATCTCAGATCCTCTTTATTTATGCCTATAATTTAAAGGGAAATGTGTTCACATTTCTCACCACCACCACCATTACCACCACCACCATCATCATACTGATAATAATTTAGCAATATGTTTGTTTTACTTGCACATGTGTATCTCATATGTGCTTGGTTACTGATATGATGCTATATCCCCTAAAACTGGAGATAGAGCTGATTGTGAATCACCATATGGGTGCTCGTAATTAAATGCAGGTCCTTTGGAAGAGCAGTTGGTGCTCTTAACCATCAAGCTATCTCTCCAGATTCAAGACATTGCCTTTTTATGTTGTCCCACTATTCCTGCATTCCCCCCTGCATGTGTGTGAATCCTTTTCACATTCACTGTTTTATCTTTGACCCCTGATATTCTATCTTCCGTTGATCCATTATATTAGTATGATGCCCCCTCCCCTGAATTTTTCATTGGCTTATTAAGTTTTCATTTCTATTTTCATTTCTTCTTGAGTCCTCTTCAATATTTCCATCTTTCCTGTTCAGGATAGGTCCCTGGTTGTGAATACAGGATTGGTGTAGATTTGGGGAGAGTGCAGGAAGAGTCATGCATACTCAACAGGTATATAAAAACTGCTGGGACTTGATGTTGGATATCAACTGTAAGACCTTTCTAAAGAAGATTCCTTACCATGGCCCCAATGGACAAGCTAGTGATAAAGAGGGCTCATCCTTCAGTTTCTGCTTGTTGTGAGGATAACAGATCTCTCATCTTAAGTTATATCTATGCAGAGTGTCAGATTGTACATCTCTGAATATTATCAAGACTTTTATTTTCTCTTTTCCTTAAATTCAAACCAAGGGGAGTCTCCTCTTCCCTATTTTGTTTTTAGCACCCAGTGTTAATGGTTCTTAGTTTCTTTTAGAAGCTCAAACTCTAGTAATTGAGATTTCTGGCTCTGTTGTTTACTTTGTGACACCCACATCTTGTATATCATATCACCTGGCAGCCGCATATTTCAGGTTCACAGTCATTCAGGAAAGTGTAGGACATGTGGGCACATGCTACCAGACAGGCATAGAAACTGGAAAGGTTGAATGGGTTCAAATCCCGGGAACCTCAGAGGTTTGACAACAGCAGTAGAGCCAATTCCTACCTGTTTCTGTACCTGTTCTGAGACATGAACCCAAGACACCTAATGGAGATGACCACAGACACTCAGTCACATGGCAGAAAACCTGAAGTTTTTCCCATGCTTATAAGGTATCTAGAGAGCCTTGAGCCTTCAGCCAATGACCTTCTCTTCCTGGGTATTCTCACTCCCTTCTCCCAAGAGCTATATAATCTCTGGTTCATACTGAATAAAGTAAATGCCTTTAAATACACCCCCAGTAAATGATATGAACAAGCAAGGATTGTCTGAGAGTGTTACTTCTCTAAAGGTCGCCAATAATTATTTAGCTTATTTTGTTCCTCAGGGAGATTAATATGTGCTTTATTGAGTACACACGATTGAGTTAATTACCACCAGAAATGTTTTCTCCAAATTGTCCTGCATTTAAATATGCCTAAAATAAATTATGCAATATCAGCCTACCGAAATATGAGCCAACATCTTCTACTTAGTTGTGTTGATCCAAACTGCCTGCTTGCCTCCTACATTTCTCTTCGTTCTTTAAATTGGATATTTTATTTATTTACATTTCAGGTGTTGTATCTCCTTTTCTCCATCACCCTGCCCCCAGAAACCCGCATCTCATCTCCTCAACTTCTGCTTCTATGAGGGTACGCCCCCACCGAACCACCCACTCCCATCTCCCTGTCCTCGAATTCATCCACACTGGGGCACCCAGCCTTCATGGGACCAAGGACCTCCTCTTTCACCGATGCTGGCCTCGACCTCAGAAATCCATCTGTCTCTGCCTCCCAAGTACTGGGATTAAAGGCGTGCACCATCACTGCCTGGCGCCTCCAACATTTCTTAACTCTACTGCCAATGGAAGTCTCACATGTCCCCACAGGACAGTTACTTCTTGATTTGTTTCTATGTGGACCTACATCAGCTCTGGCATAGATATTCCCCTAGTATATATGGTTTGATGATTATGTTAGAAATGGAGAGTGGGATAAAGTGAAAGGGTTAGGGAAGAAGAGAGAGAAGGAAGAAAAGGGAGAGATGGAGAGGGGAGCGAGAGTCAGAAAGAGGGAGGGTGAGAGAAATGAGATCTAGAACTTTTACAGATCAATCCCCATATAACAGGACTTCATTCAAGAAGAGAGAATAAAAAAATTAGTCAAATGAACAAGTTCCCTAGGTGTTACTTAGAGTTTAGTTGGTGAATACAGCCCCAGCTCTTTTGTAGCAATCCAGGGTGAGTTCTCTTTAGACACGAGTATGCTCCTGGTATCAAACGGAATGAAGAATTCCAGGTCTTTCTAGACTGTGGCCTAGATAAGCAGCCAGCCAGGCCATCTGTAAGTCTTGAAGATGGATTTGAATGAAGGTGTCAAGGGTTGGAGCTATGCTGTATTAAAGAACTTTACTCAGATTTTCATGCTGACATTTCGTAGGTAGCTTTTTCAGTCCAGGTGACTGCCTGTGTTTGATACCTATTATTACTGAGAAAAAAAAAACAAAATCTGCTGAGTGTGTACACACATGCTCCTCTCTCTCTCTCCATTCCAACTTGGAGCAAATATCTCTTTAAAACTCCAACTAAACTCTCAAGAGCTAGATTTCTTAGTAGTTAAGTTAGAGTAGTTTGAATATTTCTTTGGTCACTAACATGAGCCCACAAGATGGCAGTGTTTTCTTTGGGATGGGGTATGGGGAGAAGGAGGGTGCAGGAAGAGGAGGAGGGGGTAGAGAAAGTGCTGGGGGAAGGCTTGATGCTTCTGAGGTCATGAAAAGATTTCTTTTCTAGTTGCCAACTTAGAGTTGTGGATCTTAGTCTTCAGTGAAGAGGAAGGAGGAAAGAATGAAATCTTTGAGTATTTCACTAGTGGTCCTGTGTCTTCAGCTAAACTGTAAGTTTGGGAATTTCTTTATGATTGAGATGTGATATTAGCTCTAGGCTAATGGTAGAAACCCAGATGTTCTTAATATCTAGTCAGGTGTGGGAGACCCATGGAAAAATCATTCTAGAGTGTTAGCATACATATGTATCCAGTCTACTTTGTCTGATCTTTGTCTTTCTGCACAGGGGTGAGCAGCCAGCAGAAAGTGCAGCAGAGCCCAGAATCCCTCAGTGTCCCAGAGGGAGCCATGGCCTCTCTCAACTGCACTTCCAGTGATCGTAATGTTGACTACTTCTGGTGGTACAGGCAGCATTCTGGGAAAAGCCCCAAGGCGCTGATGTCCATTGTCTCCAATGGTGAAAAGGAAGAAGGCAGATTCACAGTTCACCTCAATAAAGCCAGCCTGCATGTTTCCCTGCACATCAGAGACTCCCAGCCTGGTGACTCTGCTCTCTACTTCTGTGCAGTGAGCACACAGTGCTCCCCAGGCACCTGCAGCTTGCACACAAACCTACTGTGCCCCATTAAGGCCTGAGATAGAGTAGAGCACACACTACCCAGTGGAGACATTCTGTTTCTATTCTGTATGCAGTGGGAATTAAGAACAAGAATAGAGAGGCTTGATTGATTGGGAAAGCATTTTAACATTTTGAATATAAGTAAACCTGAGGGAAAGGCACAAGACTGATTTGGTTGAAATATTTTTCACTTTCTTCACATGCTAATGGTTACACAGCAGTGTACATACTCTTAACATGAATTTCTTATTGAGTTGTAAGACAAGTACATGGCCAGATCACTGAACACATGCCATGCCATAATGACCATGATCACCTCTGGAGCACTGTTCCTTCTTTGGTTTTTAAAAATTTTCAATAAAATATTTGGTTTCTATTTTTTTAAGAGCTAGCTTACAAAGTAGAAAGTTTCTGTGTGGCAGGTTCATACGTATTTACTTTCCGTTGACCCTTCTCCCTTTACTATCTCTCACTTCTCAATTCTTACTTAAACCTCGTTGTTGCCAGTGCCTCCCATTCCACTTCCATATCTTCTGTTCTCTTACCTCCTTCTCATCTTCTGTAATGCTCCTTTTCCCTCCTTTTCTAGTTTCCTGGTATCTACTCACATCCATCGTCACATGAGTACATATAAATGAAAAATAGAAGCTAAGATTTGCATGTGTTTGTGTGTCTGAGGCCATAATAACTCATTTACAGTGGTATTTCTCAATTATATCCATTTCATGCAAATTCTATAATTTTACTTTTCCATTTCTCTAAATTTATATATATATACATATATATGTATATATATGTATATATATGCATATATATTCATTACACAAATGAATATATGTAATGGATACATAAATATATGTATCATTATCCAAACTTTCATTATCTGTTCCTTTGTTGATGAACATCTAGGCTGCCTTCATTTCCTAGCAATTTTGAGTAGAGCAACAATTAACAAGGTTGAGAAAATATCTCTGTAGTAGGAGACAGAGACCTTCAGATATGTATCCAGGAATTACAAAGCCTATAACACTTCCTCTTTTAACTTTATTTGAATCTTTGGTTCAAATGGAACACTGATTTCCATAGTTGTTACATTAGTTTATGTTTTTTTATAATATTTTTTATTGGATATTTTATTTACATTTCAGATGTTATCCCCTTACCCCATCTCCCCCCCCCCCGGGGCCCCCAACCCCACCCCTTCGTCCTGGGTTTATGAGGGTGGGGCCCCCCCCCACCCATCCACCCCCCCCCCCCCCCCCCCAAATCCCCCCCCCCCCCCCCGCCAGCATCCAGCCTTCATGGGACCAAGGATCTCTTCTCCCACCTATGCCCCACAAGGCCATCCTCCCCTACATATACAGCTGGAACCATGGGTCCCTCCCTATGTGCTCCAAGGCTGGTGGTTTAGACCCTGGGAATTCTGGTTGGTTGGTATTGTTGCTCTTCCTTTCAGAAGAGTGCAAATCAATCCATTCTAGTTTATGTTTTTATTAATGGTGAATGTAGGCTCCCTATTTTCCAAAATACCTGCATTTATTGCTATTTTGAATCATTTTTTTATTCTTCCATGTAATATATCTCAATTTTAGTGTCTATTCCCTATATTTGTTTCCCTTCAACTTCCCATATACCCCAGATCCACTCCTTTATTTTCCTTCAGTAAAGAGCAGGCATGCCAAGGATATCAGCCAAGCAGGAAATACCAAGTTACAATAAGACCAGATAGAAACCCTCATATCAGAGCTGGATAAGGCAACCCAGTAGGAGAAAAAGGTTCCTACGATCAGGCAACAGAGTCAGAGCCACCCTTACTTCCACTGGTAGGTATTCCACAAAAACATTTAGGTAACTATCATAATGTATTTGTGTAGGACCTAGAACAGACCCATGCAGTCTCTGTGATTGTTGCTTCAGTCTCTGAGAGCCCTTCAGAGCTTTGGTTAGTTGATTCTGTGGGCCATTTTATTGGTGTCTTCAACTATTCTGGCTCCTAAAATCCACCCCCCCCCCCGATGAATTCTTACATTGGCTTCAATATAAGGAACCCAATAGAGATCTCCAATTTGATCCATCTTTCAGACTAATGTTTGTTTGTGAGTCTCCACATCTGCTTATGTAAACTGCTGGAGGAAGCCTCTCTGATGAAGATAGGGCTAGGCACTTTTTTAAGACTATAGCAGACTATCATTAGGAATCATTCTGTTGATTTTTTCTTCTATCCTAAGTCTCTAGGCTATCTGTCCTGCAGATCCTGGTTGTCTAGCCAATGTTGGACATAGGCTCCCTTTTTGGGTCTAAACCTCAAATTAGATCAATCATTGGTTAGCCCTTCTAACAAGTTCTGTGCCTCCAGTGCTTCTGCACATCATGCAGGCAGGATAGATTGTAGGTAAAAGATTTTGTGATTGAGTTGGTGTCCCAGTGCCATCACTGGAAGTTCCTTGGTTTCAGAATATAGTCAGTTTAGGATCCATATCCTTCATTACTGGGAATCCTTACAAGAGTCACAGTAGCAGAATCCTGGGAGTTTCCTTTGCGCTAGGAAAGTGCACCATCCTTGAAATCCACTCCAACCCCATTTGCCTCTTACCATATTCTCTCTCTCCATCACAACATCTGATGATTCCTGTTCCCATCCACCTGCTGAGTATATTCTATTTTTCCTACCCAAGGAAATACATGAGTCCCTCTTAGAGCCTCCCTTTTTACTTAGTCTCTCTGGGTCTGTGGATTGTAGCATGATCATATACCATATTTGTCTTTCTTGGTCTGGTTTATCTCACTCAGGATGACTTTTTTCTACTTCCATCCATTTTATGATTTTTTTTAAACAGCTGAGTTATACTTTACTGTGTAAATGTACCACATTTTCTTTGTTAATATTTAGTTGAGGGACATCTAAGTTGTTTCCAGTTTCTGGATGTTATGAACAAAGCTGCTATAAACATAGGTGAGCAAGTATCTTTGTGGTAGGATGGAGTGATCTTTTAATACATGTTCAAGAGTGGTATAGCGGGTCTTGGATTCCCAATTTTCTGGGAAAATACTATATTGATTTTCATGGTGGCTCTACAAGTTTGCACTCACAACAGCAATGGAGGAATGTTCCCCTTGCTCCATATCCTTGCCAGTAAGAGCTATCACTTAATGGTTTTGGTCTTAGCTATTCTGACAAGTGTAAGATGGAATCTCAGATTTGCATTTTCCTAATACCTAAGGATGTTGAACATTTCTTAAGTGCTTCTCAGCCATAGTTTCCTCTATTGACAATTCTCTGTTTAG